GTTCTGTTGGACCTGTGTTGTGTCAAGAGTGCCATCATGTGGTTGGCATGAAGAAAAGTAGCTGAGGTCCCAGCTCCTGTCAGATGTTGTGTGTAAAAGGGAGTTTCTGTAGCTCAGTAGTTCTTACCTCGGTCGTTGCCGCTTGCATATTGAAGAGGCTTGCTCTTGTCGATGCTGTTAAAACTCTGGCTCCGCCGGTTGAGGCTGGAGGAGCCTGGGCTCCTGGAGGCCCCGCTGCCTGCAGCAGGTACTCTGGAGGGCCCAGGTAACCTGGAGTGTCGTACAAAGAAATAAAAATTTATTAATTTCTTGACAAAAGGCATATTGGCTAAATGGAGTTGATGTGAAATAATGAGCCTACAGCTGCTTTGGTCAAACCTAAATGATGAAATCTTATGAGATCTTACACAATTGGTTTTCACTCAAAGTATGTGTACAATCACATCAAACTTTAACTCATTATCTGTCAAAATGTGGAAATTTGTATACTGGTAAGGCTTGACAGGCTGTGGTGGCCATCTTGAATTGGATCAACTCTATAAGTCAATCAGTTGCAGATAAACATCTAGAGATTAATGAAGTATTTTACTAACATTTTACCAATTTTTATGTTTCCTAAGGTTGCTCAGCTGTGGTAGCCATTTGAAATCCAACTTTAATCAGTAATAGATGTACATCTAATGATTACAGGAGCCCAAACACAAGCAAAGTCATRACCACTCGTTCTCTATCAGCAGCAAACACTAAAGTATTTAGCGAATTAAAGGACAAAACATTTTTATCCTCAGCATGAGTCAGCCAGTGCTGGCACACTGATGTCGTCAATTATTTCTGATTCTGAATCAGAACAAGTTCATAAAATGTTTTAAATGTCAATATTTCACTCTTTGAACTCACTTTAATAATAGCTAAACATCAGTGACGTTTCCTTTCATCTCAGTATCACAAAGAACTATTGTTTGTCYGCACCTTCAATTTCAGAGAAGGTCCTGGAGGGCCTACTTCACTTTCCTGTTTCCAGGGAGTCCAGAAGGACACCTCTCAGACCCCTGTTTTTAGGAGGGTCTAGGAGGACACTCCACAGGTCTGTTTTCAAGGGGGTCTAGGAAGACTCTGCTCAGGTCCCTGATTTTATGGGGGTCTAGGAGCATGCACCTCGGGTCTCTGTTTTTGAGAGGGTTTAGGAGAATGTTTCTCAAGTCCCTGTTTTTGAGAGGGTCTTGGTGGAGAATTGCAAGTACCTGTTTTCGAAGGGGTACAGGAGAACATCTCTCTGTTCCCACTTTTTAAAAATGGTTCTGGAGAATTCATTTCACCTTCTTGTCTCCAAAGTAGGCCCAGGAGGTCACTCTTAGATCACTGCATTTGAGAGGGTCCTGAAGGCCTCTTTTTAATTCCTTGTCTCCAAGAAGGTCCTGTAAAATGCCTCTCAGTTTCATGTTTTCAAAAGGGGTTCTGGAGAACTCATTTGACCTCCTTGTCTTCAAGCGGGTCCTGAGGACACAGCTTGCGTTCTTATCTCTGACATGAGTCAATTAAATAATTCTGTCAAAAAACACATTATTCCACAAATTGCACATTGCAAAACAAATAAAAAATAAAAAATGCATAATATATTCCCACAGGAAATATTCAATTGGAAAAATTCCGGGAGTTTTGCTGTCTTATCTCCTTCAACGCAAAACTCATAAAACATACATACTGGGAATCATGAATTTCCCCAAATACACAACTCCAGACTTTTTACTTTCTACAAAATATATTGTTTTTTGCTTTCACCACCACAAAAAGTTAAGTATGACACCATATATAGCTAAAATAAAACAGTGTGACCATGGCAACAAAGACTCAGATTTCACCATTTCTGTTCCTTGGGAAAAATCCAGTTTTTGTCAGGAAAATGGAGCAGGTGTGAAGCACCTTTCCCAGCAGGAAGCCAGAGGTTTTCAGTCTGTCAGCACGTGCTGAGCAATGCAAAGACAGTTGTGCAAACATTTTAATGGGCTGTAGTGCAAAACTACATCAACAAGCAGAAAATGTGTCGATGTTTTATTCAGTTTCAGTGAATTATTCACTTCTTAGTCTCACATCTTGCTGCTCATCTACAGAGGGGCCACAGCAGCAGATTGTTCAGAGATGCTGATTCATTTCTGAGAGCCACTCTGGGCTTGAAGCTGTAGCTGGAGCAGAGCCTCAGTCCAGAGCTGAGGCTGCCTTTTGTTTGACAAATGGGCAAATTCTGCACAGCTACCAACAAAAGAGTCAGAAAGACATACTGCAGCTTCCAATACTGATGATTAAAAGAAAGTGTAAAAAAACACTCAGTTCCCTACACCACTCATTGTCATGTTTGGAGAAAACTAGGAAAATCAGGATCACTGTCAGCAACGACAAAAATGTCACAGAGGCAACTGTTAGATAATACAATAAAAAATAGAATAAATATGACAAAAAAAGAACACATTGATGAGAGAATCAGCAGAGAAAGCAGCACAGAGAGGTCGGGACTCAGTGGAGAATAATCCTGCGGCTGAAAACCCAGACAACAGAAAGGAGCTAAATAGGGAGGAAATGACGGAGAGATTGAGGCAATTCAGATGGAAATCAGACGAAATCCCTTTCATCAGGGGGGTCTTTCATCTTCCTAAATACAGGTTTGATCGCGCATAAGCAAAATGGATCTGCAAAAAGAAATGTAATGCAATTTCTGGACAGTAATTCTGCAGATGTGTGAAAGGAGATATGGCCTGTCACTCACAGCCTATAAATAAATAACAGGAAAAAACTAATAAAATGCATCTGGCAGCATATTAACAATGACTTAAGATGTCCCATCTTATAACTTTTATAACTTTTAAAACTTTCCCTATGTCTTCTTTTTACAGCAACCCTGGCCAGCAGAAAAGTCCTTTTGGTTTTCACTGTATTATGGTTTACAGCCGGAATGACAAATACTTGAGCTTGAACCATTTTTCAGAGTGTAATATCAGCACATCTGGCATCGAAGCAGCTGGCCAAAGGCCCACTGGTCTAATGTATTGATACAGGCAGGTGGCCAACAAACTTTCACACTTCACCTCCAACTGCTGAGATGAAGAACTTTTGAGGCCATTCTATAATATCACAGCAAATAACGCTTTACATGCACTAGATTTTACTGATGACACAGCTCCAGCATGGTGTGCTAATGGAGTGGGCAAATAAAAAACAATCATTCGTGCTGAAAAATGTGGTGAAAAAAGTTAATAGTAAAAATAATGCGAACACAACAAAAATAAAAGTAAAATCTAGTCTAAGTTTGCTAAATTTTAGTAGAATGAAATTATTGTAAACAATGCATTTATCACTTTTTATTGCACACATTTTCTCCCTATTTATGATAATTTAATCAAGGGAGAAAAACTGTTTTGCACATCAAGGGTGGCTATTTTCAGAAGAGCAACTTTTCCAGCAATTATAGAATTTTTTCTTTGGATTTTAGGTGGAGGGAACTTTCTACCATTTCCTGTGGTTTATTTTAGAACTGACCTTTGTAGGTTTATACCTAAAGCTTTTCTGTTGACTTTTATTTAAATTAGTTTTGCTAAAAAATATTTGAAACTGAAAAATTATTTGAAACTGAAAATAAAATTTGAAAAGGAAATCTTTTTTTAGTTCTCATTATTCCTGATAGCAACAGCTGCGACTATTTTGTCCAGCCACTGTGTTGAGCTGTCAGTCATGATTCAACACCCCCGTCATCTGAGGCCCCGCCCCATGCCAAAACAGGCCCAGAAGTTCAAAACAGAAGAAAACCCAAATAAATAAATAAAAAATGAATAAATAAATAACTAGAATCTGTCAAGTACTTTCAAACTGTTTTCCCTATTTTCAACTCCCCTGTTCTAATTTCCAGTTTCTAATCAAACATGTATTTTCTATTTCAATTTTCTTTTTTAGTTTTAAAATTATTTTTCTATTTCAAATAATTTCCTTTCCAGTTTCAAAATTCTTGTTCCAATTAAAAAAAATTGAAACAAACTTTATGGCCCCAATTTAGCACCATAAAATCTCTTTAACTGGACATTTCTTCTACAGTAAGCACTATAGAAACAAACAAACAAACAAACAAACAAACAAACAAACAAAAAATAATAATAAATAATAAAAATAATTTAAAAATTGGAGGTGAAGTTTTTCATTTATTAATTTATTTTTTGTGCAGGAGCTGATTTGGCTACATGAAACGTTTAAGAACAATTTTCTTTACCAAATACAAAAGCAAGAGATGCTAACAAGTAGAGGATCTCAAAACATAGTTTAAATAACTAAACAAATCTTACACACAGCACACTGTGTGAAACTTTTTCTTTTATTTTTGTCAAAAAGGGAAACAAGTTCTCCGGTTACAAAAAAAAAAAAAAATTAATAGTAATAATGTATTTCATTTTTCAGTGACCTCCATTCTTATAACATAGGTAATTTAGTTTGTGGTATGTGTTTTTATTTGCATCTGTTTGCAGTAATTAAGCAGCTGTTTCTGCCAAGCAGCAGCAGTAAGGCCCATCATCGGTGTTGGGAGCGGGCAGACTACCACCCATCGGGGCCGAGGCTGCTGGCTGTAGCAATTTTTTTTTCTTTTTCCATCGCTCTGTGGTGGCTCGAGAGGAATTATTTGCCAACACGCTGGTTCCCAGAGCCTCTGAGGCAGAACAAATGCTGCAGGCATCAGACAGCTGAACTGAGGTGTGTCCAAGCAGTGTGTGTTGGTAGATTTTTAGAGTTTATGTGCGATGGATGAACATCCACATGACATATTACTGGGCGTGTGTTACGTTTTATGCTGATTTGTAACACCTGAAGGGTAGCTGAATAAGTCAGGGATGGTACTACTCTGATTGTATGGATGATCTCTTGTACTGCTTCTGTGCTAAAATACTCAAACAAATCCCAAAAGATGGGATTGCTTTGAGCACAATACGCAATCAACATTATAGTATATATAA